CGGGGGACACATGCGTCCCTGCCGGAAGATTCTTGCTTGTAACACAGGCGCTGCACTATTCCGTCGCCCAGACAGGACGTAGGCACGTAGCTGGGCGACGATCTGGTAATGGAGCTGGAAACTCAATGGTACCATCAGCTTTCCAGCCCCATTGCTATAGCGTCGCCCGGCTACGTGCCTACGTCACGTCTGGGCAACGGAATAGTGCAGCGCCTGTCTTTTCCCTGCGTGAATGGTCCTGTGAAGAACTACATATCCCCCGCCGAATCAAGGTAAGTACTTGGGAGCCCTGCTTCCCACATTGCAACCGATATATATTCAGGGGTCTTGTTGTAGAAAAAGAGCTGCCGGAGCTCATTAGCATAACTCATTAGCATAACTTATTTGCATATTATATATATATATATATAGTTTTGCAAGAAATGTTCAAATGCAGCCTGCAATTCAAATAATTCTAAGAATGGTTCACCTAAAGTAATATTGATAGGAAGTTACAATGGAAGTGGTAGATGCTCGTAATAACGGATATTTCCGTAGAAGTTATTACAGTTGGAGTTGGGAAAGAAAACTGAGGCCACAACCCAATCTAGTGAAAACCTGCATTAAGTCACACCGAGAAGTTAATAAAGACGGGAAAGTGGTTTCACTTGGAGGAGATCTCCACATATGACATTTCCTTGCCATACCATCAACGAATGGTAGTTAAGTAGCTAAGAATGCAAGGAATGCTGTTCGGTAAGCAGCCCTCAAGCCTGTTGCCATAAACTTCTCAAAGGAGAACAATGGCATCGAAGCCACTGGCTGCTGACAACCTTCTTTGTTTACATTCATAACTGGAGAAAGATGGGAACAGCAGCAGCTACCAATAGCGTCTGCTGAAACCCTACGGCAAGATTAGTTCCTAACAGGAACTAATTCTGTAACATTCAAACTGCAACCCACACTCATGAAAGTCATTTGGAAGAGTCAGGTATGCAGCTTGAGCTCTGAATGGTGTATTTTGGCAGTAGCAATTCCCAGAGCTGACGAGATAAGCTCCTGTTCAGTTTTTTTTTTAATCTTTTCCGTAGTGGGAGAAGCTGTAATTATGCCACTGCACAAACCGGCAATCGCATCTGCCTCCCCTGTCATTTTCCTCCCATGAACAAATTCATGCCCAGTCTCTGGATCATGACCTCGCAGTATAGGATGTCTTTAAAATGATCAAAGAGCCTTGTTTCCAAGTTTCATTTGTTTCAAAGTTCATGGGCTGGCTTGGACAATGAAATACAGAAGCGGAGTAAGATTTCGCAAGTCAGAATCAGGTGTTCAGGGTTGCGGCATTTCTTATCCAATCTGTCCTTCCGGGAGGGAAACACACATAGTGACTCTTCATATTGACCTCACTGCAAGTCAGATAACCGGAAACACCTCTGAAGCCATGGCAAATCGCCATGAGCACAAAAATGGCCCGAGAGAGAGAGAGAGATTTCTTGATGCTGCACAAGCACTCTGTCAGACACAATTTGCTCACCACTTGTGACCAGCACCATCCATCAACGTGAGGGAAAAATCTTTGACCACTGGAGAATCACTAGAGTTGAATCAGCAAGCACTCCCACAATGCTTTGCCACACCTGTCGCTATCCCAAACCCATCTTCTGACCAACAGGGGGAAAAAGCTGACAAAACACCTGCCCTCTCAACCTGGAATACGTTTTCGATAGCTACAAAACTTTCAATTCCTTGGTGTCTGTGTTTTGTGTGTGGGGGGTTGTATACTTCCCAGAAGGAGAACACCTCCAGGACTAAGAAAGCTTTGGACTGCACATTCCAAGTTCCTGGGCTGGAACCTGGAGGTGCTAAATGAAACTTATGAAGGAGGCTTAAGTTTGCCTCTCAAACCCTGATCAATTTCATTTTTGCTACACTGGGTGAGCACACTTTGAACAGTCCTAAACAGAATTACCCCAATTACCCCAAGCCTGAAACTCACTGAAAGCAGGTGGGTAGCCATGTTGGGCTGAAGCAGCAGAACAAAGTTTGAGTCCAGTGGCACCTTTAAGACCAACAAAGTTTTAATTCTGGGTACAAGCTTTCAAGTGCAAGCACACTTCTTCCTGAAAGCAGCAGTTCTCTTATACAAAGGGATTTCAAAGGGAGATTAGCAATAGAGACTGCTGAATTGCAACTAATAATGAAGCTCAAGACAATGAATCCATGTGGACTTAATTGAAACCTAGGTTTTCTGTCTCATTACCAATGCTGATTTCTCCACACCTACTACCCCTCTTGGAGCTACGGTGGCTCAAGTGGTTCAGACGCTGAACTGCAGGCTATGGAAGGTCGGTAGTTCAGCAGTTTGAGACCCAGGTGCCGCAAGACGGAGTGAGCTCCCGTCTCTAGTTCCAGCTCCTGCCAACCTAGCAGTTCGAAAGCAAGAAATTGCAAGTAGATAAATAGCTACCACTTCAGTGGGAAGGTAACAGCGTTCCGTGCGCCTTGGTGTTTAGTCATGCCGGCCACATGACCACGAAAACGTCTTCGGACAGCGCTGGCTCTTCGGCTTTGAAACGGAGATGAGCACCGCAACCCTAGAGTCAGATTCGACTGGCTTTCGAGCAAGGGAACCTTTACCTTTTACTACCCCTCTGCATATCACACCTAATCCAATCTCATCTCCTATTGTCATTCACCTGCTATTGTCATTCGGCATCGGATTCACTCCACTTTCCAATATAGGACAGACGGACTCCCACTCTAGCTGTACCCAAAGAAGTGAGCAGCGACTCACGAAAGCTCATACCACGCCACAAATTTTGTTAGTCTTTAAGGTACCACCGGACTCTTTCTCTTTTCTACTGCTACAGGATTGGCTCCCCAGGCCTAGAAAGTTGAAACTGACCCCCACAAGGAAAGGTTCCTGCCCGAGAAGAGCACGGGAAAAAGAGGACGGAAGCTGACAATCAATGACTTGCCACCATTGGTGGCAGCTGCAGAATTCACATATACAACCCAAACAGTAGCTTCTAAAAGAGACACCCCATGATGATTCAGGGCATAGCAATAATGCACGCTGACCAGCAGTTATTCAGCCAGACAGCATGCCAGACGGCAGTCCCTGCACAAATGTGGAACCGCTCGCAATACTGCTTGCTTTGAATTGCAAACAAGAGCTCCAGGTGATCTAAAGACAGCACGTACTCAAACACGCTAATTTCAAACAAGGCAAGCCACTGAATGTCAGTGGGTTCTTTCTTTCTTTCTTTCTTTCTTTCTTTCTTTCTTTCTTTCTTTCTTTCTTTCTTTCTTTCTCTCCCTCCCTTTTTTTGCAGCGGTCTCAGCATCACCGAATTCTACTATGAACCAGAAAACATGTTTAGGCCCAGGTTGGAGACTGTTCATCTTGGAAAAGATCTGTCAGACCACTGTTTCATTCCAGAAGCTAAAAGTGCCAAGACCTAAGTGATTGGAGGGTTCCATACAGGGACGGAAATACTTGGGAGGCATCAGGGTGGCCACCAGTGTTCCCTCTAAGCTGAGTTAGTGTGAGCTAGCTCACATTTGTTTAGCCTCCAGCTCACACATTTTTGTCTCGGCTCAGGAAGGATGGCTCCAGAGCAAACTAGGTTAAGCAGTAGCCAAATCACTCGCTCACAACTTTAATGCCAGTAGCTCACAAAGTAGACTTTTTTGTTCACAGGACTCCACAGCTTAGAGGGAGTATTGGTGGCCAATCTTCCACATCCCTTTTCCCGTGGTAGCTTGCTAGGTTTCTTATATAGAGACAATGAGGGGTCATTTCCTGCAGGAGTGTGCAGGAGCGGAGCTCTCGCAGTAAAGAGCCCAGGGGGCGGGCACACGCAACAAGCCCCACCCCTGCTCCCAGCAGCCCTCAGTCAGAGCAAGAAGCAGCCAGGTAAGCTGCAGAGCCCCCCCCCAGCCCCCTGATCCAAAACAGTCCAGTGGCACCTTTAAGACCAAGTTTTATTCAAGTACAAGCTCTCCCTCCTCTGCAAGGACAGATCTACATGTTCCTTCCCCTTCCCCCCCCCCAATAGCTAGCAATCCAAAAGAGTCCAGTGGTGCCTGAGTGGTGGGTGTTGCCTTCTAACACACTTCCAGTGATGTCAGGGGGTGTGGCATATGCAAATGAGTTATGCTAATGAGTTATGCTAATGAGTTATGCTAATGAGTTATGCTAATGAGCTCCTGCACCTCTTTTTCTACGAAATGACCCCTGGAGACAATTCTCCTCTCCCTATTCAAACTGATTCTCTCTCTTTCACAAGACCCATTTCCTTAACAAAGCTATTCTTGAAGACTGGTACCCAAAACAAGTTGCCACTTGACTCCTCGCTTTGTCCTGTCCTCACTTCACTCCCCACCCCACCCCCGTCCAGGGCCGGCCCCAGCTTATTTTGCACCCTAGGCAAGGATCCCTTCTGGCGCCCCCCGTGCGCTGCCCCCTCCCCCGGGTGCTGCTTGCTGCCACCAGCCAGAGGATTTCCGCACCGACTGACCCACTTTGCCCAGCTGCTGCCTCGCCCAGCACCTTTCCCGGCTCCTGCCGGCGGAGCCTCCCACAGGCTGGCAGGTCACAGGAATGGGCCACGCTGGTTAGGGGGGCTTTTGGCGGGGGGGGGGCACTTTGGCGCCCCTAAGGGCTGGGCCACTCTAGGCGAACGCCTAGTTCGCCTAGTGAGCGAGCCGGCCCTGCCCCCATCCCATCACCTGTTGAATTCTTCTGGCCAGAGGCCATGCCACTTGCACATGCTCCTGTGCAGTTCCCAGCACACCGTTTACACTAATGAAGCGCTAAACAGAAGGGCTTCACACACACACACACACCCTGGCTAGGGTGACATAGCTTCTGAGAACTAAACAAAACAGCCGTTTGGGCCATAGCCAAATTCCTTTCAATTGTGGCAGCTCATTGTACAGCTGTTCAGAACCGACAGGTTGACGGAACAGTGATTTTATCATAACTGAATGGAAGGACTGGATCTTTCCGTACTCACTTGTACTCTTGGCGCCTCCGGCTCTTGAAGACTTCTCTCTTCCACGGCTGAAGATACAGCTGTAACCACCTCTTGCTCCAGTTTAGGGCCAAGGTGACCAATATCCGCAGCCTGGTAGGCAGAGGAAGTGTCCTCCACAAGCGAGTCTCTTGTCCTAGACTTGTCCTCTTCGGCGCTTCTGAGGTCATTCAGAGACGGGCTTTGCCCAGCCTCCGCTTTAGAAAACGAATTGCTGGTGAATGGCCGTGGGGCTCTCTTGGACAAATCTACTTCTCCATTATATTTTGCAGTGTCATCCATCTAGAAGAGACAAAAGTTTCGCATCTGCAACTTTTAAGAGTTTATTTTTTTAAGGTGATTTTCTAAATTGGGCACAGTGCGAAAAAGCTTTGAACTCCAGCTTTCTTCATATTCTGTCCAGACGTAACACGCACTGCTTCGTAGACTCCCGATAAATGCATTTTAAAAATGATGGTTATCAGGGCAATCTCAAAAAGAAGAGCCTGCAAATGTGGCGATACAGCAGTGCAATTAGGTGAGCACGCCCTTTAAAAACCATGATTTGGGATAGTACAATGCAACGATGCGAAGCAGCACGAGAGATAACCAAATGTCCCATCCAATTATACCACAAGGGATTTTTAATCTTTGTATTATTCAACAGCTTCTGTTACTGTTCTTTTAATTTTATGTCAACCGTTGTGGTGTGAGAGATTTAATATTGGTTAGCAAAGAAACGTCTATTTTAAGCACCGGAACTATTGGTTCCCGAACTTATTTGGCCTTCCGCCCTCTTTTCAGAAAAAAAATTATGCAGCGCCCCCCTGAACATCTACCTCCAAGAAGTGGACAAAAAGATGCAGTTTGTGGATCTGCACCTGGATTGTTCCAGCCCAACTGGATCGTTCCAGCGCCCTCGAAGGGGGCAGTGGTTTATACCTTATGCCAGGTGTTCCCAACAGGATGCCCGGGGGGGCACCACGGCACCCACGGATCCCTTTCCTGGTACCTGCCATATGCTTTTAAGAAAGTGGCCGGGGCCAGGTAAGGCCTTTGTCCAGCAAGGCTTCTGATTGGCTGCTGGAGATTTGATTGACTATGCAGATTTGTAAAAATGATGTTTTGGCAACAGCCACTACCATAGCACAAGCATCTTCACCAGGCCTGTAGCTACGGTGGGGCTTTTCGGGGCTCCGCCCCCTCTCTTAAAGGCACGGCCCCACAGGAATTTATCCAGAAAATACATTTTTAAATCATTTAAAATCATTTATAAACATTTGTTTAAAGGTGCGCTCCAGTGTGGCACACAGACAGAGGAAGCAAACAAGTGGTTCCTAACGGTGGCTTGGTATGATAGGCTGGCCAAAAACCATAGTACTACGAAAAATGCATCTCTGGTAGCCCCACCAGGAAAAAAAATTGCCCCACAAGCCAGAAAATCCTGGCTACGGGCCCGATCGTCATTGTGTAACGGCAGGGAGGCCACGGCAGCCATTTTGTGGCCTGCTCCACCTCCTGCAGAAGGTACTTTTGTGACAGTCATTCTGCAGCTGCACCCATCACATTGTGTCAGAAATACAAAGGTGCCCACAAGCTAAAAAAAAAGGTTGGGGACCTCTGCCTTATGCAATTAATTTTTTTTATAAAAATCCTATGGAAAAAGTGAAAACGTTTGAAATTGTTACCCACAACTCCTAGAAACAGTTACCCCACAAAGATCTTCAGATGAAAGTTTTTACCGTGAACGACCTGGGAAGTGACGAGATTCCTCTTGAATGGACACCAAAGGGCCTCGGCGTGACCACAGATGTTAGCCTGGCAGTATCACTTTTCGTGTAAGTTCTCGGGAGAGAAGATGCAACCCGAGCTGGCCCAATTGGCGCACTGACTGAATAGTACGTGGACAAAGGCGGCTGGCTCTTTTCTTCCGCCATGCTTTTAGATGGAACTGGAGTTTCCACTCTTGCACCGCCGGTCTCTGTTTTCAGATCGTGCTCTTTGCCGTTTTCTTCGCTTTTCGATGAACTGGGGGCGGCAGCATCGTTTTCCACAGGGGGATCTTTCGACAGTCCAGAAGGCGTTTTCTCTTCGCTGAACACATTGTCGTTTGACAAAAACCTGTGTCTCCCTCGCTGCTGGCTACCACCACTGTACAGCCCTTGGTCTCTGTCCTCTCTGGGGACGAAAGGAAAGCATAGGTACCGCGTCAGTGACCTACGGAAACAGGTGGGCTTCCAATCATCTATTCAACCCATTCTAAAGCCGAGTTTGGACAATGTGCAGGTTTTCCTGGTTATTATTCAGTCTTAATCCCTACACTCCTAAACAGGGCTTTCATCTTTCTCTCTCTCTCTCCCCCCTTTTCATACAAATAAGACCCATATCTATTTTCAGAACAATAAGCATTGCTCAGGAATGACCCGTTTCCCTCAGGCAAGTCTTAGAAAAGGGTGAATACTTGACGTGATGACTCATGAATAACTTTCCTACTGCGGCTCAATGGGAGCTTTTCAAACAAAAACCTTAAACGCAAAACAAAAGAGATGTCTCAATATGGGCCCCTAGTTTAAAACAGTGTGAATCTACACTGTCATAAACACTTGATGCAGGTATAGTGTTTATTTTTTACCTCATAAGAAAAGCTTACATTAATCCCAGATTCCACGAGGAACATTACTAGGATTCAAGCTACAGATGGGTTAACAGCCAGATGTGAGCTTTCTAATGTTATTTTATAAATCAAGCAAAACACCTCTGCTATTTTTACCAGAACTAGTTAAACAAGAAAACAAAATTCAGACACTTGTGTTATTTCTACCAGAAGTGGTTAAACAAGAAAATAAAATCCAATAAGAAACCCCATGCTGTCTGCCAATAAGACTACTGAACAGAAAGCATCCATGCTGTGATCTCAACTGTGATCAAAATGGATTTACAGTCAGGACGTAAACTAAACAAACTCTTCTAATCATTGAAGTCTGAAGAAGAATCCTGAATTTAAAAATTCACTTATTCCTCAAAATGGCTTCATTCAAAAGCGACGAACCTTTAAAAAGTTCCATTAAGGTGATCTACCATACAATGCAAATAATTTTTATTAGCAGAAAATGTTTTAGGAGTTCTGAATTAAAAGGGAAAAAACCCATAAATTTAGATTTGTTAAGAAATGAAAATGCTGAAATTGGATTTGCATGCTGGAGGCTCCGATCATAAGAACACTTCTAAGACATTTGAATTCTCTGGGGCTGATTCCCAAGTAAACATGCTTAGGACTTAAGAAAAACACTAAACACGATTTTAAAAGCATTACCTCTCTTTCTGCATTTGTTTCAATGATTTGCCGCGCCTCTCAGAGCCCTCGGAAGACAGCCGCTCTATTTCTTCTCTCTCTTCCTTTTTCTTTTGCAAATCAGAAGTGTAACTCTTGCGACGGCTCTTCCATTTTGCCAAATCCTAATGCAAATCGCACAAACATGCAATGCATTTTCTACCCGTCGTTGGTAAGAGAACTGCTCTTGTGAACGGCCAGGTATCCTGTTACCTATCTGAGACTGCTCATTCCGACTGGAAGCTCAGGTGCCCCAATTTCGCTATACACGTCTAGTGTTCCTGCATTCTCAAGTATCTCCCTAACAAAATTCTCTCTGACAGAACTGGAAAGTAACTGATTTCCCTGCAGCCAAAGAGGCTGGCTATATGCTGGACAATCAGAAGCAACCGTTTTACAAAAGAAAGGTTTATTACTCCCTTTTTTTAAAAAAGCAGTTAAGTTGCAAGTATTTTTTCAAGCTTTTCATAACAGCGATTAAATGGAATTTTAAGAACGTTTTTGTTCCGGCAAATAAAAACAAAAACTACTGGTACATATCCTGCTATAATAGCTGAGAATATTTTTGCCTGCTTCGAACTGAATATAGTTCAGTATTTTAGGCTGTCCTTTGTATTGCATGGTCTCAACGGAGGCTTAACCCAATATTGTAACATAGGGACGTTGAATTTAAGAGATACTCTTCAAAACCTTGGAGGGAGGGAGCACAATTGTCCTACTTGTCTTATGAAAATGATCTTGGGCAGGTAGGCCTCCCAGTTCTTCCAATTACAGCTGCTACACTTTGCCCATTCATTTATGGAAGAGGATGGAGGAAATGAAGAACAGTAGGTTTTTACACCCTGCTTTTCTCTACTTTAAGGAATCCCAAAACAGCTTACAATTGCCTTTCCCTTCCTCTCCCCACAAACAGGCACCTTGTGAGGTAAGTGGGCCTGAGAGAGTTCAGAGAGAACTGGGGGGGGAGGACCCAGCTTAGTGGCAGAACATCTTCTTGGCATGCAGAAGGTCCCTGGCTCAATCCCCAACATCTCCAGAACAAGATCTGGCAGTAGGTGATGTGGAAGACCTCTGCCTGAGACCCTGGAGAGCGGCTGCAGTCTGAGTAGACAATGACAACTATGATGTACCAAGCGTCTGATTCAGTATAAGGCAGTTTCATGTGTTCACGTGTCTGGCCTAAGGCCACCCAGCAGGCTTCATGTGGGGGGTAGGGTTGCCAAACCCCCCGGTTTGCCAGGGGTCCCCCATTTTGGGGGGGGGTTCTACCCGCCGCCGGCCAGATGGCCAGTGGGGGAAGCCCCGCCCCCAACACCCACAGCCACCCATCTCTCTCCCCCTAAGTGTGTGGAACCCGTGTTTCCTCCCAAGCCCAATCTCCGCAAGCTTGCAGGGAAACACCAGCTTCCAGCTCTCAAAAGGGAAACACAGCTGTTCTGAAAGGGGAAACGCAGGCTCCTGCATCCAAAAGAGAAACGCCGGCTCCTTCAAGTGCAGGGAACTGCCGTTTCTGGAAATCCTCCCAGCTCTTAAAAGGGAAACGCGGCTGTTCTTAAAGGGGAAACGCCAGCTCCTGCATCCAAAAGGGAAACGGCAAGTGGAGGGAACTGCTGTTTCTGGAAATCCTGTGCACATGCGGGGGGGGCGGACGGCCCCAACACGACGTCATCATGTCGGGGATGCCCCTCCCCCTCCCCTTCAGGAACGCCCCCAAAGTCCCCCGCTGGGGGTGGAAGATGGACTTGGCAATCCTATGTGGGGGAGTGGGGAATCAAACCCGGTTCTCCAGATTAGAGTCTGCTACTCTTAAATACTGCCTCATACAAAGAAAAACCCTTCAGGAGAAGGACAATGTCTTCTTCATGCCCACGTACAATAGGGCAGTCAGTGTGGTGTAGTGGATAGTGCTGGGTTAGGATCTGGAAGACCCAGGGTGAAGCCCCCACTCTGCTACGGGAACTTGCCAGGTGATCCTGGGCCATCACCCACCCTCAGCCTCACCCACCTCTCAGGGTCGTTGCGAGAATAAAATGGAGGAGAGGAAAACAACGTCAGCTCCTTGGGGGTCATTAATGGGGAAAGGCAGGGTACAAATGAAGTAAATAAATAAATTAGATGTGGCATGGGGACAGTAAAATGAAATTATTGCTGTTTCTATGATGCATCTCGATTGCTTTATTTACTTAATTCATACCCTTTATTCTATGTAACCCAGCGTTTCGCCGCATTGCTCCCCAGTCTTGTAATTCCTGCTTTACTGTCTGTATTATACCGTGTTTTAAGCGCAACGTTCTCTCATTTTGTAAGTTGTATGCATTATACTGCTCTTACTGAATGATTTTAGCCGCAATCTGCTTCGGGCCTCAGTGAGAAAGGCAGACTATACATGTAGTAGAACACACCAGTGTTCTGAGACAGCCCTGTACAGTCCCCCCAGGAGCTCTAGAGCAGACCAAGTAGTCTTTACAACTTAAGTCTTCATGACTTAAATAGCAATAAAAGTTATGTATCACAGTGATCCTGATAAAGCAAATCTGGTTCCCTCAATGGGATATGCCTTTAGATAAGCTACCAGATTGCTCTGTCAGAGACAATTTCGTGAGAACGTCCAACGAATGAGCTATTTTCATTCCAGAGAAACCAGCTGTTGAAGATATGCAAAATTCTACCGGCAGATGTCCCAGCAAAAGTCAATGAATCCAAGTTTCTGACATTTGTTGTTGTCATTTTGCTACCCATTCGCAACCAATTTATGGGCACCCCACAGGGTTTTCAAGTCAAGAGACGTTCAGAGTTGGTTTACCATTGCTTGCCTCTGCACAGAGACCTGAGATTTCCTTGGGGGTCTCCTATCCAAGTACTAATCAGAGCTAAACCTACTTAGCTTTCAAGATCTGACGAGATCGAGCTATCCAGTTCAGGGTTTTTGACACTTAGAAAGCCATTATCCTATCCAACACAGCTACTAAAGGCTCGGTTGGGAGAACTATACCGACAAGCGATGCATTGGCAAACACATTTTTCATATCTAAGTTACGTATTTCACTTGCCTGAAGAACTGCCCTCTCCGCATGTTAACCAGGAGAAGGGTGCTTGCCTTGCCCCCACGGGAGAGACAGGAGATTGCAAGCCCACCAAGCAGAGCATTCAATCATGGGGGGGGGGGATAGTGTTGGAGGGCATGTAACCCCCTGGAAACACGGTCCTAAGTGCCGCGTGCCAAGAGAAAACACTGATTCGTCTAAGGGTGGAATTAGGCATCAGTAAGGGAAGAAAGGTCCTTGAACCCATTTCCCCCTTATAAGGAACACAGAAGGGACTGGGGTGGTCTGGTAGTGGAGAATCAACAGGCAGAAAAGAGTAAACATTTCCCCTGTGAATTCCAGAAGCCATTTTCAAACCTTCTCTCCCCCACCCCTAGTGGACCCCTAAACTCTAAACAAGTCCAGCAGAGAGAAAACAATGTGGGGGTACAGGAGAGATGAAACATCTCTGCAGGCCACCCAGTCCTCTTCCTGTTCAAGCCCCCTAAACCACCCCCATATTCATGCTATTTAGGGCACATGTTTGGAGAGTCAACACACAGGTCTTCTCTTACAAAAGGCAGACAAACATCTTGAGGAAGCTGATAAGCACGGCAGCCGGGCACAAAGTCTACTGTTCCATTGAACCTACCATCTAACAGCTAAAAACATATCCTCTGAAATGGAAGACGGATTTCAGAGAGTCACCAGCGACTGCCAAGAGATCATTTCCACAGGTGAAATGTGCATTCTATGAAGTTCGGCGTATTTCTGAGAATGACAAGAAAGGGGCCTTCTGTCTACGTAGCCGCTTTGCCCAACCCCATGTCAGAATAAAACACAATCACAAAGGATTTTGGAGAAACCGTACTCCACATCTTAAGGTATTAGAATACCAAAGCAGTGGGGTGCAATTCATCTGCTGACACAAGGGCTAAGAAATGCTTTATTTTTATTTTAGCAGTCCTCTGAGTTTATTCACATGGTCTCCTATAGAACAGAAGACACTGGCACCTTCTATAATAGCCCAGACGAGCTTGATCACATCAGAGCTTGGAAGCTAAGGAGGGCAGCCCACCAAAGACTCGGGGCTGCTAAGCAGGAGGAGGCAATGGTAAGCTACCTCTGCTCCTTTCTTGCCTTGAAAACCCCATGAGGAGGAATTTAATGGGGGGTATCATGAGTCAGCTGTGATTCGATGGCACACTTTAACTTCCATTACTTACATCTTGCCATTGTTGATCTTGCTCCTGTAGCTGAGACCTTATTCTCTGTAGCTCTTCATAACGCACTTGACGGATTGTTTGGAGCTCTTCTGCGCTGACGTCATTCAAGGATTTACTCCTAAGGGGAGACACTGCTATTTTAAAGTTTGCAATTTGCCTTTAGGTAAGGTAACAGCCTTTTGGAGAGGGAGCTAAACTATCCAGTATGAGATAATGGAATTGTACCACATACAGCAAGAGGCTGGAGGAAAAGTAAACTTGTAGAGGCACCAGTGTTTATGTGCGACTGTCAACTATGACATCAAAACAGAATGCACGATACAATCCATTTCTAAAGCTTATTTTAGAAATCTCTCTTCCCAGTTCTGTAAACCTGAAGTTGTGTTATTTAGGGTTGCCAACTCTGAGACAGGAAATACCTGGAGATTTTGGAGGTGGAATTTGGGGAAGGTGAGGGACATCAGCGGGATAGGATGCCGCAGAGTCCACCCTCCAAAGCAGCCATTTTCTCCAGGGGAACTGACCTCTGTAATCCGGAATCAGATGTAATTCTGGCAGATCTCCAGGCCCCACCTGTAACTTGGCAACTCATGTGTATTCAGGGCTTCAGGCCCCCAGGTCTGGAGGTCTGGGCCCCCCCTTTGGGGGGCTCCAGTCCGCCCCCAGCCAGTGGGGGAATCCCTGCCACTCCTCTCCCTCCCCTTCTGCCCGATTTAAAGGGCAGCACCCACCCCTGGAACGCCTTCCCCCCAATCCCCCAGCTGGAGCGACAAGGGGACCTGGCAAGGAATGCCACTAGTCTAACACCAGCACTGCCTATGAACAATGCAGATCCTATTCTAGTCATATATTTCCAAACTTTACCTTGTCATGGACACAGGAAGGAAAAGGTATGTGTTGCTTTGGGAGAAGAAATCATCCCAGATTGATTTTACCATAAATCCCAAATGCCATTTAATTTCACAACAGACATTGTCTTGTGTTGTATGTTTGCACCCAATCTGATCAGTAACCAAAGCCAATTGTGTTTCTTTTGTCGAATTATAAAACGATTCTACTGGAACCAACTTTTTGCTAAGTTTCATGAGTAGCTCAGGTGGGATAACTCCCTAAGAAAAAAGCAGGGGAAATTTTGTACTGCAGTACTGAACAAGGGTCAGGGTACAAGGTTACTGGAATCAATTTTGTCCCTGGAGTACAGGAAATGATAAATGAAAATGAACTTTCCTTCGGCGGTATCATGTAACAGTCTGCCAGCCAACCATTTCCTAATGAGTGAAACGACAGAGCCACTAAGTGAGATTTTGCAAGAAAACCACACCTGATGTCCAGGACAAGGGTTTAAAGAAATATATTTCAAAAAAGACAGACCATTATGAACTGAATAGACCAACACAAGAAAGGTCCCTTTTCACACCCAACGATTTAGATTAGCAAAGTCTGCTGCTGCGCCATCACGTACAGCTTTCCTCCTAGATTTCTTCTCTTCTTCCTTTCTTTTCTGACTTGGTAAATGGAAGAGTAGACTAATTCCAGCTATGACCTGGATTATGGGTGCAGTCCTAAGCAAACTTAATAAAGAGCGGGTCTCACTGAACTGAGTGGTACTCCTCTGTGAACACACTCTGAGTAATTCATTACGCGTATGAAATACACAAACCTTCTCCATGCTGCTGTGGTTCCCTCCTAAGTTCCATCATTGGCTTCTCTACGCTTCATCTGAACACAGGGAGCCATGAGCCAAAAAGGTATTTATGGTTGTTGTTTTTTTTAAAAAAAAGTTTCTTAAAAAATTAATTAAGGAAGGCAATTAAAAAAACCCTCCCTATAACTACACTTTTGAGGAAGCCAACTAATAACTTGGTAATGAATGTGCTTAAAACAATTAACATAGACATCAGCACTGCTTAGGGTTTAACCGCCTTTAAGAAAATTGGTTTTTCAATACACTTTTCAAACCCTTGCGGGTTTTGGCAGCGCGACGCCACTTATTATGGAGCTCTGTGAACCAAAACGGATCAATTTCCAGAAGACATTGCCAGAAAAAGCACAAGGCACTTTACCCAAAGGTGAAAAAGTCACAAAATGCATGTGTGTGGTCTAATCGATGACACAGCACGGCATTCCGCCTCTCGAAGGTAACTGCCGCATGCAGCAGGATGTGATAGCGCCATCGGAAGCCAATGACCAGCGATCTCCTCTAGTTGCCAACAGGCCCAGAGAAAAATGTCCTGTCCCCTTAAGAGACGCTTCATGTGTGGAAACGGGCCGCTGAAACTTTTCATGGCATGGAGCTCAATGACATCACCTGGTATATAACATCTCATTAAAGACTCTATTTAAGGGACAGGACTTTTTTCTCCAGGCAGGTGGCAACCAATACTCCCAGTAAGCTGCGGAGTTTTGTGAACAAAAATTCTCCTTTGTGAGCAACTGGTATTAAAGTTGTGAGCGAGCGATTTGGCTGCTGCATAAATTAGTTTGCTCTGGAGTCCTCCTTCCTGAGCGGAGGCAAAAAAAAAAGAAAGTGAGCTAGAGGCTAAGAAACTGTGAGATAGCTCACACTAACTCAGCTTAGGGGGGAACACTGGTGGCAACCCTACCTATAACCATGACCTCGGTTGGTATCACGCCCTTCGTTTTAGTGATGTATGCAAGGATTCTTCTGTGTGGCTGTACATATATTGATTGAACATTTTAATCCTTTTTTTTTTTCCCTCAGCCAAGAAGATGTACTCCACAGCCTATTTTTACAGTACAAGTAATTAAAATGCAATGTGTAATGCTACTGCGGTGGGTGGAGAGACAAGAGAAATCCTGACCAGTGGCTGGAACCAAGCACAGCATTTATTTATTAACACAATTACAAGGCGCCTTTGGAAGGATGCCCTTCCCCTCTGGACGGAATGGCTGCCTAGGAAGCAAATATACTTAAATATAACTTACGGTTTGTCATTAACATAACTGAACACGGAGCCATGCAAGTGTAATTATAGCTTCCTAAGACTAGCAGCCCTTTCCACAGACTTGCACACCGTTTCACGGGCTGTGATGCAGACCGTAAAAATATGCCGCTGCTTATGGCAGCCATAGTCTAATCCTCCCTTCCCTTCAACATCTAGACAAACCTGCTTCATGTCACACTGGCATCATTACCTCACCCCACCAACACCAGCCGTGTTCAGAAGTTACAGTGAGCACACGTTCACCTGGCATGTCCATGACATCCTCCATCTCTTCGTAAGGAAGTGCCAACCTGTGGTCGCTTTACAAATTAAAACTGGGCACCAGTTAGGGCTGCCAAGTGGGGGCGGGGGGTGGGTAACCCCTCGCTTCGGAGGCCCGATTTCTGCCGCCGCAGAATCGGGCCCCGGGTGGGAACTCCGCCCTGGCATGCGTGTCACCCGAAGGTGACGCAGGCACGCTGGGCACGCTGGGGGCGGGGCCACGGCCATACAAGGGAAAACCCTATGGTTTTCCCTTGTATGGCCGTGGCCCCGCCCCCAGCGTGCCTGTGTCACTTCTGGGTGACACGCGCGCACACACCCGATGCCAGCCGGGAGCCCCCCGCTCCTGGCGAAGAATCACTTGGCAACCCTAGCACCAGTACCTGGATAGAATGGGGGGCTTGCATCACACGTTCAGCTGTACGCACATGGAATGTAACATGACAATCAGTCAACATATGAATGTACGCGTGTTCACTATAATTTGTGAACAGGGCTACTGGCCACCACAGATGTGGAGCGAGGGTGGACAAACTGAACATCATGCCATGACATGCGACTCCCAATAGGCATTATGGAATGATGTGTGATTTCCAACAGACATTATGCTTTTTCAGAGAAGGTTAAGATCTGGGGTTTGTCATTTTATTTTGGGTTTTAACTGATGTTGTTTTTTAAACTATTATTGTAAGACGCCCTGAACCACTAGGAAAGGCAAGATGTAAGTGTTTTAATAAACATGTAAAGGAAGGATTAGGCCCATGCCTGATGCCTTTCAGGAAAGGCACATGTCTGTTAACTTCTTCAGAAGAATTTGTCCTGTTTTAGAACTGCCTTGTGAATGTCAAACCAGTAAGAGAATAAACACAATATATATAATAAAGATACTGACTTCATCTCCCTTTCCCATTAACAAACTGAAAATTCTTTTCCCAATAGTGGAAATGATGTTGATGTGAATGTTATCTATTTTCATTGCTGGTCCGCTCTTTTCAAGACCTATGAGGGAGACTGCTATACTCATGACTAGGGATGGGCATGAACCAGCTGGTGTACTCAAGTTTGTCACAAATTTTGTTCGGTTCATGGTTCACAAAGCGATGTTCACGAACTGAAGAACAGCCACGAACTTTCACAAATTTTGATGTAAAGGAAGAAGCTTTCTGCTCTTCACAAAAAACAGTTCCCCGCCGCTCGACTGTTTGGTTTAAACGGTTCAGAACCATTTAAACCTCTGTTGCCTGCTCACCGCAAAAAGCCATGGGGAGCAGAAAACAAGCTTTTAAACTTTAAATGGATCACAGATATGAACTGGTTCAGTTTGCGAACCAATCTCCCAGTTCCTATTGGTTCATTGTTTGGTTCATGGTTCAGCCACGAACCACAAACTGCACTGAACAACAAAAGTGCGGTTCGTGCCCATCCCTGCTCATGACATCAAGCATCTGAGGCTCCCGTGGGCTTGTCCTTCAGCAAATTATGTAAAAAGAGAGTTGTTCAAGAGAGTTTCTTTATGAAGAAAACAGGACTACACTGTAACAAAATTCAGAAAGTGGCTTTATAAAGGGAAAGGGTTTGCGGATTATACTGCTGTGTACAGGGTGTATTATCAGTTTGTGGCACGCATCACCTGTTGCTGTTCCATTACTTTCTAATAATGTAACACGGTTTTCTTCATTCTTTCCACACTGAGTTGTGCCCAATATGTTATGTTCATCCAGATGTCAGTAATCCTAGTCCTAACTCCATTGCTCGTTCGATGGCTCCTCATATTGACTCCATCAACCTATGCTGTGCTTTATCAGATGCCTTTTTATATGGATTGTTATTGATTTACACTCTGCAACCTACTTTGAGTCTCAGTGAGAAAAAAAGTAAAGGTAAAGGTTTCCCTTGCTCGAAAGCCAGCCGAGTCCGACTCTAGGGTTGCGGTACTCATCTCCGTTTCAAAGCCAAAGAGCCAGCGCTGTCCGAAGACATTTCCGTGGTCATGTGGCCGGCGTGACTAAACACCAAGGCGCATGGAACGCTGTTACCTTCCCACCGAAGCGGTACCTATTTATCTACTTGCAATTTCTTGCTTTCGAACTGCTAGGTTGGCAGGAGCTGGAACTAGAGACGGGATCTCACTCCGTCATGTGGCACACTCGGGTCTCGAACTGCTGGACTACCGACCTTCCACAGCCTGCAGTTCAGCGTCTTAACCACTTGAGCCACCACAGCTCCTCTCAGTGAAAAAGGCAAACTATAAATACAGTAAATAATAATAACAACAACCTACGGGATTGCCAGCCTCCAGGTGGGGCCTGGAGATCTCCTGCTTTTACAACTGATCTCCAGATGAGAGAGATCAGTTTCCCTGGAGAAAATGGATGCTTTTGAAGGTGGGCTCTATTAGCACTGTACCATGCTGAGGTCCCTCCTTTCCCCAAGCCCCACCCTCTCTCCAGACTCCACCCCCAAGATCTCCAGGAATTTCCAAACCCAGAGCTGGCAACCCTAACAACCTACAATACTTTTAGAAAAGATACAGCAAGCTGCAATACTGGCACCGCGGTTGGTAACACAGCAGCAGACGCATCCCATGCTCAAGCATACATTGTTGTGGCATCAAACTGTTCATAATTAACATCTCTGGCAGATGGTCGACAGCTGCCGTCCAGTCTAAGGAGCCAGCCGTGAAAAACATCAACCACATAAGCTAGATGCAAATGCTCTGTCTGAAGGACACCACATGCCGGGTGTCAGCAACAGAGAAACTTTTAAGAATCTAGTGACCAGCTGCCCTCTTTTATCATACATGCAACCCTTTTGCCAGCTAAAGCATCTTCCAAACCAAGTGCTGAAACTGCTATGCAAACCAGCCAGGCACTGAAGTATTAGAGCAGCATGCACCAGTTGCCTCAAGCACAAGTTTTCAGCCACCGCTATGAATGCACAAGCTAGGCGGGTTAATCCTTTCTATGATGTGGTACATCTGTGTTCTTTCATCATTAAACTTACCCATACTCATCAGAAAGCTTTTGAAACAGCCTGGGAATCAGAAAACCAGAACAAGTTCAGATTAACCCATTCCATTTCCATCACATGTATATCAAGAGAACAACGTTAAAGCACGGGATAATTAGGACAATGAGTATTGAATTTCCAAAGGAGGGGGTACTATGAAAATTCTGATATTTGGATGAGGTTTCGGAGAACCATTTGAATTCATAGCCTCAACATGCACGGATACTGTTTCCTGATTCCAGCTAGACCTCATCTATACACAAAATACATAAAGGAAGCTTCCTGCCCATCTTCCAGTTAAAACAGAGGGGCAAACAAGTTTCTTTGACAGTGGAAAAGAACAAGAGTCCAGTAGCACAAGAGGCCAGTTTGGCGTAGTGGTTAAGTGCGCGGACTCTAATCTGGGAGAACCGGGTTTGATTCCCCACTCCCCCGCTTGCACCTGGCTGGATGACCTTGGGCAAGCTGTAGCCCTGATAAGAGCTGTCCTTGAAAAAGAGCAGTTTCTGTCAGAGCTCTCTCAGCCCCACCTACCTCACAGGGTGTCTGTTGTGGGGAGGGGAAGGGAAAGGAGCTTGTAAGCCGCCCTGAGACACCTTTGGGTAGTGAAGGGTGAGGTATAAATCCAATCTCCTCCTCCTCCTCCTCCTCCTCCTCCTCCTCCTCCTTCTTCTTCTTCTTCAAGACTAACAAAATTTGTGGCAGGGTATGGAGCTTTTGTGAGTCACTGCTCACTTCTTCAGATATATGAGCAGTGACTCATGAAAGCTCAGGCCCAGCCACAAACTCTGTTAGTCTTTAAGGTGTTACTGGGCTCTTGCTCTTTTCTGCTGCTACAGACAGAGTACCATGGCTACCCATCTTGAAGTTTCTTTGAACCATGGCTTAACATATTTTAATATACTGCCAAACACAAAGACATATTGGAAGCTTAACATGTTAAAGCCCGAAACATTAATCTGTGATTTAGATGTTCCTATAACAGCCCCTTGAAACAGTCACACAATAAAACTTTAGGGCCAGAATCCTGTTCATACCCTACCTGTAACATTCTTGGCATGTAGGAAAAGAGGCCAATTAGAGAGGGGTGGCTGGCAGCAAGGAATACAACACCAGGGGAGGGTGGGGGAAGCAGCCGTGGAGAATCCCAATGAGGCCTCATGCTACAAAAGTTTTAATCATTTCTTAAGTTTTGTTAACTGCGTTAAGCTTCAATATATGATCAAACGAAAAATTCAGAACCATAAACACCCACAGACGTTTCCAATGAAGCATGCACGGTATGTTCTCTACAACAACATGCGCAGCAAAACACACACAGTGTTTACTGAAGAAATAGATGACTGCTTTGAGTAGAACGAAACGGATGTGGATATTTCGAGATGAGAAGCAAACAATTTACCAGGAGAAGCAACCTCATTAGGTGTGACTGGACTGTCTCTTCGTGAGGACAGACGCTGTCAACACCGCCACCTTACGCTCACTACAGTCCGAGCATCTTCTGAAAAAGTTGTAAAAATCCTCCCATATTAGGGCTACCTTTCAGTGTGCTACCTGTTAATGTTTTAGTGGCATCATTTTTTAAAAAAAGGTATCAGTGCAAGTTCTCAGCTCCAAGATAGATGGAGCTAAAAATGAAAACAAATGGAAATGTTACTAATTCAGCAAATACTTTTTGAGTTATGGGTCATTTTTGATCCAACAGCAGGAAAGGAGAACTTCAGAAGCACGACAGGCTACTAAACTACTAACAAGACAGGGCTAAGCCCAAAAATGGGTCTCTCATCAAGTCCAATGACAGCAAGAAACCTAGGCGGGCCTTTAATTTGATCACAAGATTGAAGGGGGGGGGACACAGAGATTGGGGACAAATCTGCACTGAAGTCAAAGGCCCGATGAAAGCTGCTTCATGAATGTCAGTGTCCCTTTACAAAGGCCCCTCCCTATGACAGATGAGCAGTCTTTGGCTTCTGACACACAATAGCTATTCCCAGAAAGAGAAACTACAATGTACGTATGAAAACCTTACGAATTCCAAAAGGGCTCTGAATCACAGTCAAAGGCTGGACTGCAGAGATGTCTGTAGAAACAGTTCTTTCACCTGTACCTCTCCCTCATCCATGGGCATGTCTATCAACATGATGGCTTTAAGAGCTTTATATTTTCATAAGAAAGTTCTAGAGAAAAGGTCACAGGCGAGAACAGAGTTTTTATTGTTAGCCAGTACTTGAAGCGTGCATATTTCCACAAATGTCTACAGACGGGTACTAAACAGTGCTGATTGCATTATTTCTGTTATCAAAAAGAGCAACAGATCTCTCCTGGTCCTTTATTGGAACAAAACTTGGATAATTCGGGAGGGGGAGTAACATTAGTCCAGTGATCAAACAGTCCACCTGTAACCTCTGAAATGTAACATTTGTACTGTTGATGACTCTGGTAATCAACAGAAGGACATACAGGATGATACACACACAAACACACAGACACACACAAACACACAGACACACGCCAAGACATGCACAGCAGAATACACGATGCTGTCTTTTGCCATGACAATCCCCATTTTCCTGAGCACTCCTAAACACAAACACAATCCATGCAGGCCCACGAGCTGACCTTTCCACCATCTGCCGTTTCTTGTGCTTGATTTTGCTGGCCTCTCTGATAGCCTCCCATTTTTCAAAATCTTCTGCGCTGCACGTTCCTGGGGAGAAGCTGACTGGCTGCGCATTGAAACCCACATTGAGCAGTTCTATCTTGCGGGTCAGCATATCGTCCTTCTTTTGGCATGAAGAGGGCGGTAAGACCTTTCCACCACTTTCGTTCATTGAAGACGTCTTCTTCTCAAGCAAACAAAGGAATTTGGCCTGAATTGCCGGTGGAAGACTCCAAGGATCCGGGAAAAGAGCAGGCTGATATTGATCAGGGGCACCCGACAAGGACACTTTCCTGTTCTGTAGCTTAACCTTGCGGACCGTCAGATCATCTTTTTCTAAATCTGGAATTACAGGTTTGCCGTCTCTGGGCTGCAGAACTATCTCCCCTTCTAAGTGAGGCCCTCGCTTATAGGAATTCCTAAGATACTCGAAATCTTGGACAACTACTGGATTCAAATGGGACGCACCAGTCTTGCGAACAAACAAATCATCGTTCTCCAAATCTGGATAGAAATCTCCATTTCCGGCATCCCTTTGGTCATATCCGGGCCTAATATAATGGCTTTTCCAGCATGTGACGAGCCTAGGGCCTGAAGCCGGATCAATTTTGGTCCTAGTTTTGGAGGACAGGTAGTCATCGGAATATTTTTGCAGTGCCCGGAGAAATAAAAACTGACTGAGATATTAAAAAAAAATACAAAAAAAGATTAGACCGGCATTAACCAGTAAACACAGAGACTTCGTTCTCACTGAAGTAATAATTCTGAGTCTTAATTCTCCACCATTTCAGACCGTAGGTAAAAGCCATGCAAGACTGAATGCTTCTTCAACACACACCAAATACAGGTGTGCCATGGAAAACTACAGATTTGGGGGAAGCATGTCTCTGACAAAATAGTTCTCTATGTAATATTTTTTTTAATGGAGGAGCACTTAATCATATGAGCTGCCATCGGAAGTGGCACAGCCCAGTCACGTTTACCACCTTAGTGAGAACAAGGCTTAAAACTGCAAACGAAGAGAGGCACAATCTCCAAAACTGAAAAGCGTCACACCTGCAAACATTAGAACACGGCTGGCTTACATTCCAACGTCTTTATGGACAACGGCTTTATTCCGGAACAGCGGCGGCGACACAAACGAGCCATTGCACAGAATAGGCAAGGGAGCACGGGCGAGCAAGCAGAAAACGACGACTCCGTTTACTTTAGTAGTGTGAATTTTGGTAAACCAACAACGTATGGATCACAGAGTAAAAAGTTAAAAGCGGCTTCCATGTTGTTTACTGTCCGTTTAACTATTCGGCAAACAGAGCTTTCCCCAACACACAAGACAGCACAGCTCATGCAATTGTAGCAACCTTGGAAGATCAGAAGGGTCGCTAACGTTTCTTTCTGCAGCTTGTGTTAGAGACTGCGCCGCATCCTCAGCTGCTCGGCTAGTGAAGTCTGGGTCCCCTCGGCAAACATTATCCAAACTACCACAGCTGATATCGCTTGGTGGGACTTCTGCAATTTGCTCTTCGGAATCTGTTTTTTTACTGCAAAGCAGCACACGGGTTGGAGAAGAGGCAGAGGGGGGAAAGTAAAGGAACACATAAGTTCTGCCATAAAAATTGCAGGCAAATTATGTATTTCAGTACACAATGCGTAAAAATAATTGTGGGAAAGGCAGCGTGCCAAGATTACTTGAAACATTAGTCACGTTTCAAAGTTCACAAATGGCAGGCGAAGAAGTTTTTAACGCACCCTCTTTGGACATAAAAGGGCTTCTTTGATCTGAGCCAATTTAAAAAAAAAATCTTTCTATATAAGAGATTAAAATATGATTGTGAATGCCAAAGAGCAGGTAAGGCAACAAACCTGAATCCTTGAATGTCCATATACCATTTTTTGGAAAAAGAGATCCTATCAGCTTTTTTCCAGTGTAATTCTTCGCCTGGAGTCCAAGACTGGGGAAGAAACTTATGAGAAGAATCTTTTATGTTGGACACTGCAGCATTCAATTTGCGAACATAAAGGTCATCTGTTTCGATGTCTGGAGTGCCTATTGTCTTTTCTTCCTCCTCCTCATCAAAATAGCTGGAGAAGTCTGAAAGGACGCTAGCTGTTGACTTGAAGTCCATCTCCCGTTGCAGAGCTCTCTGCTGGTTACTGCACAAAATATCCAGTCAAGTTATACATTTTTAAGAACCAACTTGCCGCTGTGTATACAACAAGCATTTTTTTTTTGGCTACAAAATCACAAAACTCTTGTGAATGAAGCAAGTGAACTTTCCGGCACGGAAACTTCTGTAACAGAGTAAGTAGATGGACTATCAGTGAAGATCCGCTTTCCCATTGGCCAACACAAAATGTTAAGAATTCGATTACGGAAGCTGATGTTACTTATAAAGTATGCTTTTTAAAAAGTAGAAATTATAGCTTTTCAATGCTTTTTTTTTTTTTTTTTTTTGTTTTTCGGGGCTTTTATTTTTTCTTTTGGTTTTTTTTTTTTTTTTTTTTTTTTTTTTTTTTTAATAAGTGCATTTCCTTGGTGGTCTCCCATCCAGTTACTAACCAGAGCCGACCCTGCTTAGCTGCCGAGAGCAGGTAGGATCAGGCCAGTCAGGACTATCCCAGAATGCATTATTTACGGAAACGCTTTTAAGGAGTTGAGGAACAAACTATTTGGATCCACAGAATTAAAGCTCAGGCCTCATTAACTTGAGCACAGCAATTGGGCCACCTAGACAACACCTTGGAGTTCCAGATTCAGAAGGACCATCTTGCTGGACATAAAGAAATGCAGGTGCTGAAAAGCTCTGGGGGTACTCTTTCACCCAGGACCTGTACTTCGCCAAGTCATCCAGAATCAATGTCTGGCCGCTTCCTTCCGATCTTCCAAGCCACCACACTGACAGATCATCTGTGCTTAACCTAGATGTGCAATGCCACCTTCTCCTGTGACATTTTATTTTGGTTAGAAAACTTCCTTGGCTGCAGAGATCAGAAGAAAGCAAATAGAATGAAACCACGTGCTTCGCGACCGGCTCCACTACAACATAAACCGAAATCAAGTTATAGAATCTATGAAACAATGATTTAACACAGCATCATTTTGTATTGGAACAGTTGTGTCAGTCTGAAAGCTACAAATATGAACAATTCCTACTTGATTTAAATGGATCCAGTTGGCCAGCCGTGCTGGTCTGAAGCAGTACAACAAATCTAGAGTCCAATGGACTCTAAATTGGTTGATTGAAATGAACGTTTATCTAGTACAGTGCAACTTGTTTTCAGAGCCAGAAGTGGAACTCTTGGCGAAAGGCAATTAAGAGGTTTATTCTCCATTATCCTGATTCTAATAAAAGGACCAAAATCTATGCTTACAAAGTACATGGGAGAGCTAAGCATGTGCGATAAGTTATTCATCACTTTAATAACCTTTAGTAACCTTCAACCCGAAAGTCAAATGCATCCAAAATACTCTGTGCACAAGGCAAAACCATATTCCCAGACTGCCCATTTCATTAAATCCCAGAATTCTGAAAACCTCAGAAGAATGTTGATTTTAATAAAAAAGACAACTTTCTCTGTCTTCTAACCACAGTTAGGAGATTGGGAGTGTCAGAAATTGTGCAATAACCATGGTGCAAAACAACTAAGGCATCAGCACTATTATCTCCATCAACTTGGGTCTCCCCTTGCCTGCAATGGATTTGAAAACCCTAGATTGGGTAAGTGCCAATGCAGCTTTACTGTGATGTCACCGTTACAGCAACCCATGTAAGGGTGGGGAGGAGGACGGAAGGAGTCCAGGTGCCTGTAAAGCATGCTTTTGATTTCCATAAGGCACATTACATCTACACCAACCTTCTTCATAGCCGCTACCGGAGGAGCTCCCGGAGGAGATCAGGGCCCTGCGGGACATTTTACAGTTCCGCAGGGCCTGTAAGACGGAGCTCTTCCACCACTGTGCTCATCGATCAGGAGCTGCATCAAACACTTGAGAAGCGACGCTGTGCCCTGGCCTACAACTCACAGCCTGTGCTCACCACATACATAATCGGATTAACTGAGCTAGTGTGAAAATGCCATCACGATTGCCCCCTAAGTAGTACTGTTAAGCTGGAAACTTCTGCTCCTGCCCTTTACTCGAATATTGCTTCCGCATTTCAGGACAACTAATACTTAATAGCTATGGTGTTTTTTATCAAATGGTTTTAATTGTATTTATATATGTACTTTTATGCAAGCCGCCCTGAGCCTGCCTCGGCGGGGAGGGCGGGGTATAAATCAAATGAATAAATAAATATATAAAAACCAACCCTTGCCATTGACAGAGTGTAAGCAACACACTAGTACCTGGAGAAGGTTCCATCTGGCTCGGTGAACACAGGACTCGCCCAGCTTCTTCTGTTGTCTTCATTCTGTTCTGTCCTCTTCTTTCTCAAAGGGGCTGGCATATATGTTGTTGGTGGTTTGGTTTTGCTGGGTAAGAAACGATTGAACTCCGCGGCAGGTTTTGGTTCGATCAAGGAAACCCTGCGGTAGGACATGTCATCTTTACCGGGGTCCTGCATCCTGGTGCGTGTTTCGGAGTCCGTGTCACTTTCACAATCTAGAGAAAAAGAAACCGGAACACGCAAAGGACACATTTTACAGTGAAGCTTCGCCTTACGATACCACAACATAAGAAGACTCTGTGAGGTTACAAAACAAACAGAAGTACCGCTATTATTAGGAACTTGCCATGATACTGTAGAAAGATCTGCTGGAGCGAAGTTTAAGTTTGCACAGTGGCACTGCATTCCTCGCATTACTATCTTCTTTTCATCACCTTACTCACGAAACAAAATGTTCCCTCTCTAGTCATTTGCTTTTTTAATCTAAGTGACGTTTCTCATTAGAACTTGTACAGCTGGTATGATCAGACACCCTCATCGCTCCTGTAGACTGTTTTTTAAAATTGGTTTGCCAACGGTGGAACACATTTCCAAAATGTCATTGCAAGCAAAGGAGTTATAAAGACTCAGGGAAGAGATTACGAAGCGTCGGTTAACACAAGCTTGCTTATTAAAATGGATTTGCTGCTGCAGGAAACATCAACGCCACGGGAGAAATGTCACCATCAGCCATGTCGGTAGGGAAGGCAGTCTCAAAGCGACTCTCCTTAGCAATGTTTAGTAAGAGATTTAAACATTTTTTAATGAAAACACTGAAATGCTGGCATATCTTTTTCGTTACCTCAGATCAGAAAAATCGAAACATAAAGCTCTCTGCTTTTATCACCAAGAATAAAACCATTTATCCGTCAACGAAAAACGTACTGTAAAATATGGCCAGTGTTACCATCTTCTATATATTTAAAACGAAGGTCAGAATAACTCCCCTGTAATTGAATGGGGGTGGGGGGATAGCTAAGAAATGGGATTCCCTGGGATTTTACAGTTAAACAGAAATTGGGAAACTTCCCAACTTGTAGATCTCCCACTTAACCCCTGTCTAATAGAAATTGGGAAACTTCCCAACTGGTAGATCTCCCACTTAACCCCTGTCTAATACAGCTATGGGTAAGGGAAACAGAGAATAAGAAAAAGGGATTATTGTCTGCTTACTGACTTACTGTATCCGAGCTTACCGTATCCTAGATTTTCACTCAATTAAGTGCAGGGCTTTGCTCTGCCCCAAGGAGCCCTTTCGAGAATCCGCAAGGCTCTCTTGCTGGAGGAAGGCCCCACACAACAAACAATGAAGGTCACAGGTCCATCCCGTGGCTGCCGATGCCATTTTAGAAGCATCTGTAGAATTGCCCTGAGGCCTCAAACGCAAATGCTTCTAAAATGGTGTTGGTGGCCATCGGATGGACCCCGCAGACTCTGTCATTTACACTTTGGCTCTTAGCTGAGCAGTGGGTTATAGTTCAGTATATTGCAATCAATTGCTAGACAGTCAATGTTTGTTTAGAGGAAGATATTCTACAGAAAGGCCTTTTGAAGCTGGGAGGGGGAAAAGCTGAAATAGGAGGAGGAAGAGGAGATTGGATTCCCGCCCTTCACTTGGAGTGTCAGAGTGGCTTACAAACTCCTTCCCCTCCCCCTCCCCACAACAGACACTGAGTGAGGTAGGTGGGGCAGAGAGCTCTGAGAGAAACTGCTCTTTTCAAGGACAGCTCTGACAGAACGATGGCTTGCCCAAGGTCATCCAGCAGCTGCAAGTGGAGGAGTGGGGAATCAAACCCGGTTCTCCGAGATTAGAGACTGCACACTCAGGGGTAATTTCCTACAGGAGCGCAGCTCCGGCAGTAAAGAGCCCAGGGGGCGGGCACATGCAACAAACTCCACGCCCCGCTCCCAGCAGTCAGAGCAAGAAGCAGCCAGGTAAGTTGCAGAGCTCCCCCCGGCCCCCCGGTGCAAAACAGTCCAGTGGCACCTTTAAGACCAAGTTTTATTCAGGTACAAGCTCTCCCTCCTCTGCGAGGACAGATCTACATGTTCCTCTCCCCCAATAACTGGCAATCCAAAACAGTCCAGTGGAGCCTGAGTGGTGGGTGTTGCCTTCTGACACACTGCCGGTGATGTCAGGGGGTGTGGCATATGCAAATAAGTTATGCTAATGAGCTATGCTAATGAGCTCCTGCACCTCTTTTTCTACGAAATGACCCCTGCACACACTTAACCAGTACACCAAACCACTACACTACACATAACAGTATTTAATCCATCTCTCTCTCTCTCTCTCCTGCTCACTTCTCTACAAAATTAAAAAATAGGCTAACTGAAGATTTGATAGGAACATACCTTCACTGCAACCTTTTAGAGTTATGTCTGATGAAAGGCTGGCGGAAGACCTTGAGCCAAACGAATCCAAGCTATCGAACGAATCCTCTCTCTTATGGCTGGCAGATGAAGAAAGCGAGTCACTACGCTCAAGGTACCAAATGTCGCCGTACCCACTGTCCCTTCCACTTCGCTTGGGACTGTTAGATTCTCCAAGAGCCTGCAGGGATCAAATTTAACCCAACTATGTTCAAAACATTTTTTTGTTATCCTGCAGGCGTCAAATTGGTAATGTGAGTTTTTAATGAGGAGATGCCTGCACTTTGGCAAAATGAATTTAACACAGATGTGTTTCAGTTTTATAGTATGAATCTACATACACACACAAACTACTTCTAAAAGTTTAGAATAAAATATAATTAAGAGCACCGAGTGAGCCCAACGCATTATGCTAAAGAATAAGAACATAAGAAGAGCCCTGCTGGACGAAATGACCCCTGCACACACTTAACCACTATGCCAAACTACTACACTACACATAGCAGTATTTAATCCATCTCTCTCTCCTTCCTGCTCACTTCTCTACAAAATTAAAAAATAGGCTAACTGAAGATTTGATAGGAACATACCTTCACTGCAACCTTTTAGAGTTATGTCTGATGAAAGGCTGGCGGAAGACCTTGAGCCAAACGAATCCAAGCTATCGAACGAATCCTCTCTCTTATGGCTGGCAGATGAAGAAAGCGAGTCACTACGCTCAAGGTACCAAATGTCGCCGTACCCACTGTCCCTTCCACTTCGCTTGGGACTGTTAGATTCTCCAAGAGCCTGCAGGGATCAAATTTAACCCAACTATGTTCAAAACATTTTTTTGTTATCCTGCAGGCGTCAAATTGGTAATGTGAGTTTTTAATGAGGAGATGCCTGCACTTTGGCAAAATGAATTTAACACAGATGTGTTTCAGTTTTATAGTATGAATCTACATACACACACAAACTACTTCTAAAAGTTTAGAATAAAATATAATTAAGAGCACCGAGTGAGCCCAACGCATTATGCTAAAGAATAAGAACATAAGAAGAGCCCTGCTGGATCAGACCAGTGGTCCATCTAGTCCAGCATCCTGTCTCACACAGCAGCCAACCAGTTCCTCTGGAGGGCCAACAACAAGGCATAGAAGCCAAGGTTTTCCCCTGATATTGCCTCCTGGCTCCAGGATTCAGCAGATCAGTGACTCTGAATGTGGAGGTTCCCCTCAGTCACCATGGCTAGTAGCCACTGATAGACCTCTCCTCCATGAATCTATCTAATCCCCTTTTAAAGCTGTTTATTCCTGTGGCCATCACTGCATCCTCTGGCAGTGAATCCCACATTTTAATCACTTCTATGTAAAGTAGTATTTCCTTTTGTCTGCCCCGAACCTACTGCCCATCAGCTTCATTGGATACCCTCAAATTCTAGGACTTTGGGAGAAGGAGAAAAATTTCTCTTTGTAAACTCTCTCCACCCCACATATCGTTTTATAAACCTCATTCATGCCCCCCCTCCCTTATTCGTCTCTTTATCAGAATCGGTCACAAGAAGCCCTGTGACCAGATCAACTCCCTAATCCCACCTAGCCTTCCAGTAAGGTTTCTAACTTTCAGGTGGGGCCTGGAGATCTCCTAGAATTACAACTGATCCCTAGACTAACTACAGCACGTTTTAAGGTGCTGGTGCTTACCTTTAAAGCCCTATATGGCCAGGGACCGACCTACCTGAGGGACCGCCTTTCCCTGTATAGACCCCAGAGAGCACTACAGTCTGGGGCCCAACACCGATTGAATATTCCGGGCCCCAAGGATGCAAGGCTCACCAGTACCAGGACCAGAGCTTTTTCTGTGGCGGCTCTTTACTGGTGGAACGAGCTCCCAGAGGAGATCAGGGCCCTGCGGGACCTTTTACAGTTCCGCAGGGCCTGCAAGACGGAGCTCTTCCACCAGGCTTTCCAATAGGAGCCGCCACTACTGTTACCACCAATGATCCCAGTGAAAGCTTGGATCCCAGGTCCAGCACAGAAATATCGCCAGGACCAGCAGAGCGATGGATGATGATCAGAGATGGAGATCTGGAATGCACGCCATCTAATTCTATTACTGTATGCATTTTATTGTTAATTGTTAACTTATGTGCTGAATTGAGTATGTGATTTTATAGAGTTTTAAAGATTTTATGGTGTATTATTAGGTACATGGTACCGCTTTGTTAGCCACCAGGTGGGGCCTGGAGATCTCCTAGAATTACAACTGATCCCTAGACTAACTACAGAGGTCAGTTCCTGTGAAGAAAATGGCAGCTTGGACAGTGGACTCTGTTCCATGCAGAGGTCGTCCCCCCCCTTCTCAAACCCCACCCTCTCCAGGCTCCACCCTCAAATCTCCAGGAATTCCCAACCCAGACTTGGCAACTTTGCCTTCCAGTTACCAACACAAATCATCGAGAGTGTGTGGAGCCGGAAGAGGACACAGCCTGCCTTGGCATCATCCATCCCTTCCCCCAAAAACAATCCATCTACAAAACTAGAGCCCGAACAGGCTGTCATGCAGAATATGGACGAACACACAACATTTAACCTTTGCTCTAAATTAGGGTTGCCAGGTCTGACCGTGCTGCTGGCAGGGGGGATCTTCGCTCCTCTTCAGGAGCTTCTGCGTGTGTGGCACATGGTGATGTTCTAGGTTTTGGGCAAAACTCTATGGTTCTGAGCCCAAATTTACCATAGAGTTTTGCCCAAAACCTAGAGCATCGCTGTGCAATGTCGATGGTGGGATGATGACGTCACTTCCAGGTGACATCATTGCACCACGTTTGGGGGCATTTGCAGGCAGGGTTTTCCACTGCCAGCCAGCTGGAAGAGCCCGCAAATGTGGGGAAAGCCTGGCCCGGCGGCTAGCAACCCTATTATAAATTGTTTTTCCACACTTGAATGCCTTACCTTTGACAAAGCTTGACCCAATAATTTTTCAAAGGCTTTTAAATTAAGATGTGGGCCATTATAGTACGGGTTGCCGTGAGCTTTTCTACCCAGCCAATATAACGTTATCAAAACCTAAAACAAAACAAAAAAGTAATCAAATAAAATACATGTGTAAGTAATGAACTTAGACAAGTAAAGGGGGAATCCTACTATGAAATACTGAATTCAGTTCCAGGTTCTCCGTAATACGTTAAGTGCTTTCTAAATACTTCATTACTGTTATTTCATTTCTCCTTCAGAAGACAGATACTTTACAATTCTCTTTCAAGTAGCACATGTGATTCTTCATTACCAAGAACCTCGGGCCAGGTCCTCTTTCAAACAAGCAGAGAGCGGCTAATGCTAGCCTCTTCTGGCCAAATTATGAATACCCAACCTTAGGGTCTTTTGTTAAACCCGGTCAATACATTTTAAAATGGAAGCCAATTTATATCATACCCATGATGTACTCACATGCAATGTTCCCTCTAAGCTGTGGAGTCTTTTGAGCAAAAATTCTAATTCGTGAGCTACTGGCATTAAAATTGTGAGCGAATGATTTGGCTACTGCATAAATTAGATTGCTCTGGAGCCATCCCTTCCTGAGCTAAGACAAAAATCTGTGAGCTGGAGGCTAAAAAACTGTGAGCTAGCTCACACTAACTCAGCTTAGAGGGAACACTGCTCACATGCACAGCAAGAAGAAATACAGTTTAAGGCACTATAGTTTTGTTAGATTCGTAGGGTTGCCAGTATACCTGGAGATTTTGTGGGTGGGGCCTGGGGAAGGCAAGATTTGGGGAGGGAAGGGAACTTAGCCACAGGGTCCACCTTCCAAAGCAGCTATTATCTCCCGGAGAACTGATCTCTGTCATCTGGAGACCGGTTGTAATTCCGGGAGAGCGGCAGCCTCTACCTGGAGACTGGCAACCCTATTCATCTATCTAAAAACTAGTTCCTAAAGTAAATCTGAGCCCATAGCAGGTTGCCAGACTCTCCAGTGGAGGTGAGGGTCCCCCACGGCCAGGCCCTGCCCCCCCCCCAGCTGCTGATCAGCTGGCCGGCAGGGGGAACTTACCAGTAGAAAGGAAAAGGCCTAGGACATGTTAACTGGCATTACACAGGAAGTGACATCATCATGCCAGTAACTTCCAGGCAACACCCTGGAAAAAACTTGGGCAAAAACTCTATGGTAGAAGCTGGCTTTACCATGGTTTTTGCCCAAATATTAGAGCATCACCAAGAAGTAGCTGGCATGATGACATCACTTCCTGTGTGACACAGGCAAAGTGGCCTAAGGGCTTCTTCTTTCTACTTGTAACCTCCCCCATCCCCTGTCAGTTTCCAAGAAAGCCCTGGTAACCCTAGCACACAGCCAGAAGTATATGAACTGTTGCAGTGACTTTTGCACTGAAAGATATCATAAGGTTAAGCTTAAAATCCCAAGGAAGTAATTATAAAACTCTACTCTTGGGCTCCAAGGCCCAGCATTCCTTGGGAACTTGGCAGAGGTTTCTCAATGAGAAGATCAGGAAAAAACCCAACAAACTTGCATAAAAGATGGCTTTCACAGAATTCAGTAAGTCTACCCACGCATTAAGAATCTTGAGGACTGAGAGGCAGCTTGGTGCAATGGTTAGAGGGTCACAGGAAGAGGACAATGCTTGTTATTTAAATCAACAGGCTAAGTAATTCAGGAAAGCACATCTCTTTTAAGGGACCAGTTCTCACTACTACTTGACAGGCCCTCAGGAAGGACAGCAATAAACCCAGTAAATTAAAAATTTTCAAGTCATTTTCATGGACGTCAAATCATCAGCAGTAAGGAAACTCCCCCACCCACCCCAGCATCTTACATTTTTCACTCTTCTGTTGGTCTCTTCTTGCCTAAGAAAAACAACAGAGAAGAGATGCCCATTAATCTAGATCATGACCAACAGTCAATGTTATTTACATGGTGAAAACTGCCCACCCTCGGACTGTGCATCGACGGAAAGAGAACTTCAGCAAAGAGACCACAGAGCCTAATATTGTAATATGCTCAGATCCCCGAAGTACCACTGCACCTCACGAAACATGAGGTCCAATAAAATCACATGGCAAAACTGGAGGAGATATCCCTACGTAAATGGGGAAATCACACAAACTGATCTGCAAGAGCAGATCCAGGCCTGTAAGAGAAAGTGCGAGAGAGATGATGGAGGAGGAGATTGGATTTATACCCCGCCCTTCACTTGTGGAGTCTCAGAGCGGCTTACAAACGCCTTCCCCTTCCCCTCCCCACAACAGACACCCTGTGAGGTAGGTGGGGCTGAGAGAGCTCTGACAGAAACTGCTCTTTTCAAGAACAACTCTGACAGAACTACGGCTTGCCCAAGGTCATCCAGCAGGTGCAAGTGGAGGAGTGGGGAATCAAACCCGGTTCTCCCAGATTAGAGTCCGTGCACTTAACCACTACACCAAAATGGCTCATATGAAGGCATGCCAATGCCATTCCAGTGAACCTGCCCTAGGGAACGCTACCTAGGGGCAATAATGCACATTTCCCAGTAAATTTAAGAACTGGAAAATCGTACAGATTCCCCCCCCAGTGCCTATCCATTTTCAACAAAACATCAAAATGAAAGAATGCCATGTTCATTTTATGCCCCCTGCATGTGTGTCATAGACACGTAGCTGAATTGGGGAGAAACAATAGGGGAAATTTTATATAAAGTACACTTTATGTGATTTTAACAGAGTATTATTTTTTGTAACAGTGAGATTTCCTGGTATAGTCACTCGGGGGGAAAAAGTTAATTATGACTTGGAAACTACTCGGTTTGACTAGTATTGTATCTGTTCATGTTTCCAAATTTTATGGAACAATGCTTTTTTATAACTCACCACTGGCTAGAACGTCAAATCAAAACCAACTGAGCTTACCCACTAGGCATTTTCCATCATTGAAATAAAAATGGGCAACCACAATTTCAAAGAAAGACAGTGGAAATTAAGATAAGAACATACGTTACAGAGATGTAAAAATCAGCACTAAGAGTCTAACTTTCAAGCGTGTATGTAAACAGAAGTTTTATTTCACTGAACAACTGGAGAGATGGTATTACTTACAGAAAACCTCTGGATGATAAATATGTGTTTGCATTATTGCCAATACAAAATGAATTACTGTAGTTCTCATATTGATTTCAATGTAATTCAGCCAGCAGCAAGGCAGTGGAAAACACTGACAAAGATGCACAATTCTATCCACCGTGAGCTGTTACAATATGGCATACATCCGTATGGTAACATGTGTCAGATTAAATGCATTTGCAGGCTAGACTGCACATTACTGTCTCCATGCAGACATCCAGCGAAAGCCACCTCCCTAAGAAAAGCAATTCTAGTCCATAATATTTTCAGATATTCACTACTAGACTTCTCTTTAAATCCCTTCTCCAAGCCAGCCAACACCTCAGCAAGCGAACTCAGGCATTTAAAAGGGAATGGTCCCCAAAGGCTATAATGGAGCCGAATAAATTTGGGTTTCCCGATTATTTCCTGAATCCCAATACCATACTGATATTGGGATTCGGGAATATCAGGAAATATCAATATTTTTCTGGTTCGATCTACCTGAATCTGAAAAAACAACAACCATATTTATTTTGCACACCCCTAGAGGGAACCATGATGAGAGCCACAAAACATATGTTGGAAAAAACGATGGGGCAGGGATAGGGTTGAGAAATACCGATTTTGGGGGTGGAGCCTGGGGAGGGCGGGGTTTGAGGAGAGGAGGGACCTAGGGCTGCCAGCTCTGGGTTGGGAAATACCTGGAGGTTTTGGGGGTGGAGCCTGGGGAGAGTGGGATTTGGGGAGAGGAGGGACCTCAGCTGGGTATACTGCCATAATGCCCTCCAAAGCAGCCATTTTCTGCGGGGAACCTATCTTGATTGTCCGGAGACCAACTGTAATCGCGGGGAATCTCCAGGTACAACCTGGAGGTTTGCAACCCTAGGCAGCGGAGGGGAGTCAAGAGAATGCCATTTTGTTCAAGAAGGTATCCAACAACTCTCACAAGTGTCCTGGAGGTATGTTTCCCACCAGGTTTGACACCAATAGTTTTCCCCTGAAGTTTGTGTTACCGAACAATCCTAAACGTAACCGAACAGTTTCAAATTCTTCATCGTGGACTGATCATGTCCCAAAGGAAAAAACATTCGCAGGACGTACTCTTTAAAAACTTTCCCCCTACACACACACACTCAACATTCCGAACATTGTATTACCCTCCTCAAGTGTGAAGCTTTGCCAAACCTTCAGCCCAGCCATTCATCGGTTCACTTCCTCAGGGTGACATTGAGTAAACAGAGTCGGGCTGCTCAGATCACATTTATATCTACATTTGTAAACCAGAATGCTTCTCTGCTCGCTCTGAACCCAATGTGCAAGGCTGTGGTGACACAGCAAGTGGCCCGATTAATTGGAGAATTCAGCTTTAGCTGGCTATGGGATACAGAGGGTAGAAGGAGAATTCCCCCCCCCCCAAGATGGTCACCTTTTAACAAGACCAACGAGAAACTCTCCAAGGAATTCCATGACGGTGAAATCGACAACCAACGGTATTTGTGTGACCACAGCACTGTCATAGGTTGGAGTCCGATAATTAAGCAGACAGAGTGGGGGAAACAGGGTCGCTCACGCTTTAAAGACACTACTGCTCTTTATTAACCCAAACAACAGTTTTGGTAGGCTTGGTTGGCCCAGCTCTTGTGTGCCAGACAAGAGAATTATGCATTATATTTCAACAAGACCCTGCTTCGGCTGCCATCACCATCCGATACTAGATGAGGGGCCACAGCACTGTCATAGGTTGGAGTCCGATAATTAAGCAGACAGAGTGGGGGAAACAGGGTCGCTCACGCTTTAAAGACACTACTGCTCTTTATTAACCCAAACAACAGTTTTGGTAGGCTTAGTTGGCCCAGCTCTTGTGTGCCAGGCAAGAGAATTATGCATTACATTTCAACAAGACCCTGCTTCGGCTGCCCTCACCATCCGATACTAGATAAGGGGCAAACTGAGAAAGGACCAATGTTCCCTCTAAGCTGAGTTAGTGTGAGCTAGCTCACAAGGAAGGGATAGCTCCACAGCAAACTAACTTATGCAGTAGCCCAATCACTCGCTCACAGCTTTAATGCCAGTAGCGCACAAAGTAGAATTTTTGCTCACAAGACTCCACAGCTTAGAGGGAACATTGCTGAGGACCTCCTCACTCGTGGTACTAAAATGATGGGACTCCCTCTGCAGTGAGACTTGCCCTGTCCTCTCCTATCATTGCCTTCTGCCAGCATGCTGGTGTTTGCCTTCTGCTTCCTGGCTGATTCTTATTGACCCTTCCTTAAGTGTTTCCCTTCTATATAATTACCTATTAATCTTGTTTTAATGCTTTTATTATTTGCCAGCTTGGGCTCCTATGCTGGAAAATGTGTTCAAATAAATAAATACATGGCAACTCGTGCAATTCTTTTTGTTTTTTTCCAGGTCTTCTCGGCTTTCCCTAGACTCCCCCCACCCCTTTGTTCTCAAAAAGACATTTCTGAAACTGAAGGCAGCTTTCATGAAGGTTAATTCTGACAAACAGATTTGCTTTCACAGGAAACAGTACCTATAATGTTTTTGGATCTAATATGGACAGGACTCTTAAAAGCAGGAAGAGTCTACAAAAAATACCAGTGGGAGGCATCTGTTTGCATGCCTGAGAACAGTAGCATCCCTCTCTTCTGCAGGGACATCGGCAAGAAGCATTTCCTTTATTTTTCTTAAGCCTCCTTTTTCTATTGTTTTTTATACACACGCGCACACACACACATACATACATACAGGGGTCATTTCTTGCAGGAGCGCAGAGCTCCGGCTGTAAAGAGCCCAGGGGCGGGCACATGCAACAAGCCCCTCCCCCCCTGCTCCCAGCAGCCCTCAGTCAGAGCAAGAAGCACCCAGGTTAGTTGCAGAGCTTCCCCTGCCCCCCCCCCCAAAACAGTCCAGTGGCAACTTTAAGATCAAGTTTTATTCAGGTACAAGCTCTCCCTCCTCTGCCAGGGCAGATCTGCACGTCCCCCCCCCCCCCAATAGCTAGCAATCCAAAACAGTCCAGTGGAGCCTAAGCGGTGGGTGTTGCCTTCTGACACACTTCCGGTGATGTCAGGGTGTGTGGCAGATGCAAATAAGTTATGCTAATGAGTTATGCTAATGAGCTCCTGCACCTCTTTTTCTACGAAATGACCCCTGTGTGTGTGTGTGTATGGCTAAATTTTGCTAGGACAGGAGCTCGGTCCCTCCACTACTCTAATTACCTCCTCTGTATGCTAAATTATCTCCCTTCCAGTGCTGTGCGTCACTGCTCAAACAGCTTTTGAAGTTCGTCCATATGCCCACACTCTCCCCACCCTTGGACAGCTGCGCATTCTCTTCCCCACCAACTGCCAGCTCTCAAATCGATCCCCCAAATCACAGCCAGGCAGCTTAAGGACATGCATCCATCTACTCTTCCTCGTGCTTTGGTTGTCCCAACCTGTTAAGATCCCCACGGGCTGTTCCCTCTAAGCTGTGGAGTCTTGTGAGCAAAAATTCTTCTTTGTGAGCTACTGCCATTAAAGTTGTGAGCAAGCAATTTGGCTAGTGCATAAATTAGTTTGCTCTGGAGCCCTCCTTCCTGAGCTAAGACGAAAACGTGTGAGCCGGAGGCTAAAAAACTGTGAGCTAGCTCACTCTAACTCAGCTTAGAGGGACCACTGGCTGGGATAATAGGGCAGGAAAGGTGGAAAGAGAAAGGGGATTCCCCACAATATTGGCCTTTTTTTGTTTTGAAGAAACTGAAAAGCAACTGGAAGAAGAAGAGG